GTTATCATGATTGATTCTGTTTTTGTTGTTGGGGCAAGGAGTTATTATCCCAGTAAAAGTTGTCAGTAAATTGTTGTTAGTTCTTTATGACATATGAAAAGAATCAAGACCGTTACATTTATTCATTTATTTCATTTAATATACTTCTTCCTATGAAAGGAAATATTTTATGTTATATTTATGATCCATATGTTAATCATACATTGCTACAAATATTGCATAAGTTAACATGGTTTGCATTTATTTATTATTATTTCTTTATCTGTGAGAAGTTCACAGAGATCGAGAATACACAATATCTAATAGTATATGCAATGTAGGTAAAGAATATCCACCCCCCTCTTTTGATATTAATAAAAACATAGTATATAATGTTATGTATTAAGTATTCTCTTTTCCCATGGATGGGAAATCTATGCTGCATTTGCTGACGACTGGTTTTTTTCCTTTGACATTGCACAGGAGATCTGTCACTCATTTGTTGTATTTGAATTCTTCGTCAAAATATAATGTATAAATACGATTGAATTGTCTCGTTTGTTTCAAGGAAACGGCCATGTGCTCCTTATCAAATTAAGTAAACCTCCAATACAAATCGACATAATTTCAGGGTCCGGTTGCACAGAACTCTCTTCGGTAACTCGTAATTCAATGTTATTGCAATGGATTCCTAGCTAAGCTACTATTAGCTGATAAGTCAATTAACCTATTTGTCGAATAGACGTACCTAATGTAATCCATCATTTTTAACCCGAGGATGGATCTTTCAGTCATAAATTTCGATGTGTACAGTTGCTAGAGTATCATTCTAACAATACAGACATGACACAAGCTTCACGTTAAATAACTGATAAAGGTAGTCCTTGCGGGTTCACATACCTACATGTACATCGCCCAGGACATTGTCATTATTTGCTTTACATCCTCCGAGTAACGTTAAAAAAATTGAAACTTGAATAATAATAAATTGATATTATGTATATGAACATGTATAAATCAGCTTGCACACAGACTACTGCAGAATGACATGTCATCCATTTGCTAGTTTAGTTTAGTTTAAACACATTTTATTCACAGAACAAAATGAGAATTGTATTTGGGACAAGTTCTTGCAACTTAGTAAACCCCTCTCCGCATAAAATATGTACAAATATACAGTTGCAAAATAAATAAATTTGCTTCAGTCAGTAAAAGTCAGACTTTTCACATTTACACATCAATATATTTGTGTAAGTGTGTTACGTTATAATTATTCCATTGTGTATATTAATACCTATTGTACCAATTGAAATATGATTCCATTAGGTTAAATATGAACAATTATGATGAAAAACGTCAATAGGATATATAACAATTAAGTACAAAACACACAGAGTATTTCTCAAATAAATAAGAAAACTAAGTTCATTCTAGTAATTAATCCTCTTCTGGTTATTACAATTTACGTAAAAAGTTATTACATTTTACCGCAAGTTGAGATTATTACAATTTACGTCAACTTTTATTACAATTTGCGTATTACAATTTACGTCAAATTTTATTACAATTTACGTTGTTATTACAATTTACGTCAAAATTATTACAATTTGCTGCAAGTATTACAATTTACCTTTTTATTACAATTTACGTCGTAACAAGCATAATTATATTTATATTAACCACAAATAAGACAACGATGTTGTGAAAAAACCCCACATATAGCTGGAATATTGCTGAGTGCCGCGAACAAACAAAGCATCACCCAAATCAGCGAACCAGACAACCCAATCCTGTTTGTCGCCTCTAACGACAAGCATTGGATCCTGAAGACCTATTCTGACCTAGCTAATAAGTCATACAAAGCGTTTTTGAAGTATGCGACAGTTCCTTTTATATTTTTCATGAACATATATGGATTTTCAAAATTCTGATCTTTTGTGATACGGTGCGAACATCCCCAGGTGTAACCATGGAGGAGGTGCCTGTAGAATGAAGGCCATGTTGATGTATGTCATTTGAAGTGGAGAACATTTCAAAACCAGAACTAATCAATAACGGAGATTCCTCGTCTCTTGTTTTACGTTTTTTGGTCAGTTTCTTTATTGTATTATTTTCTTTCCAAGAATAGTCATTATGATCATGGTGAGTTGAGTTACTTGGTCTTTTTCTATGTACTGTTTTTTGTCCAGTGTTATTAACTGTTATGGAATGTGGTTTACTTGTAACAATGATTGGTGTGAGTTCATATGATGATGATTGATATACTGTTAAGATGTAACATAATAATTCATTCATACTACCAAACAGAAGTAAAACTGCTTCTCCATTCGGATCAATCTGACCCAAACCATTCCGCTGATGAGAGTCAAATAATGCATACGTATCAAAATCCGTAAAAATTGCAATGGGGACATCATTAAAAGGTACCAAAAGTGACTGGGATATCAATATTGCTTGTTAAATGATTAATATGTCGACTTTGAGGTATGACTACCTTTATGTCTGTAACTGACACCAAAAGCTAATCTGACGTTGAACTGATTAAAAACAAATTGTAATTTTTAGGCATCTTAGCAAAGTTAACAATAATCATACTCGTTGTATGCCTGACTACGTTTTGTAACGGACAAAAGCTAATGTAATTTTGAATTCTGAAAAGACATAACATTCAGATTTTACACATTCTTGGAATTCGTGTCATTAAACTAGGACTCAAGGGTATTTGGGGAACACCATGCATCAGTCCTTTCTAAATCCAGAAGTGTTTTTGCACGTTTTAGATTAACAATACTACATGTATAAGTCACAAGCGAATGTTATGTTAATGTAGCCACTGACACCCAGTCTATCAAACTATTTTTAAATGTTTTACAGGATTATATCCAGTGTTTATTAAAGCGACAAACCCCTTGCTGTATTATAAGAAACCTTACCAAAAAAAAAAAAGTCGATTGTACAATGCAGACTATATCATGAGCATGTGTTTATGAATCACTGTCAGATAGTGATGACACCAGGTGTTCGTAAAAGGTGAGAGTACCCAGCCCACGAGTGGCATCTGCCACAAACACTTGCAAAGGCAAGTCAATTGTTCACCAAATATCAATCAGGCTTTGTACCAGGACATTCTACTACCTCCCAAATAATAGAAAGTATGATGACAATGACTCATCTGTAGATAAGCATGAAGGTAGTTTTATGTATCTGAAGTATTTGAAAGAGTTTGACACAAAGGATAAGCTACGGGTAAGTTACTTCTGTGGTTAGGAGGCTATATTAGTCATCGGAGACAAGGTTTTTGTTTTTGCAGCTTTTCATCTTCTAAATTAACAATGCTGAAATTCACAATAATTGTAAACCCAATATATGAAAGAGTGCGTCTGCCTGGGTGTGGGTATGTATATACATGTATGTATGTATGTGTGAGTGTGTATGCATGTCGGTGAGGTGGTAAGGTGAAATAGGGTTTAACGTTGCGTCAAGATTATTGCACTTCCATAGCGACGCATGTGTGTGTGTTAGTATGTGTTAGTGTGTGTGTGTGTGTGTGTGTCAGCTTGTACTAGTCCGGACCATATACGTATGTATGTGTGAGTGTGTATGCAAGTGAGGTGGTAAGGTGAAACGGGGTTTAACGTCGCGTTCAAGATTATTGCACTTATACAGCTACGTGCACGCACGTGTGTGCGTATGTGTCCGCTTGTACTAGCCCGGACTTATGCCGATTTTATAGTGGTAGCCCACTGAGATACCATGCCACAGCTGAACATGAATATGGATGTTTGCATGTGTATGTGTGTTTATTTTTTTAATAATTATGTGTATGAACCACCTCAGCTTGTTAACTCTTGCCCAATCCCATTAAACATTAAAAACATGTTTAAAAACAAAACAAGTAAAACCAGGGAACTGCAAATGAAATCATTTTAATCACTGTTGCGTCAAATTTGGAAATGTCCTCCACATGCCTACCATGTAACATTTTGAAAGCTTTTCTTAGGCCTGGATTGTTTTAACCTTGATCAAAACATTTTCTGAGCAAGAATCGTATGATAAGAAACGTTTTGCTTGAAAGACGAAGAACCAAGATAACCAAAGATCTGGCCAATAGATAAAGCGAAAAGTACGTATCTGGGCCAACATATTTCAAGTGTCCACAAATGAATCAAAATGTACATTCCATAGATCAACTGATATATCGATATCAACTGGCATAAACACATTTTACATGAACTCAAGTATAAATGGAATAAATCACCTCAGGAAATAATATGACACAAGATTACTCTACAAGACGTTACCTGAAGGGTCAAATCGGGAACGTCTGGACACCTGCGACTGTTGTTAATGCCGTGTCACTAATACTCTCCGGGACTACTAGTATTAGTAAGATTCACTAGAAATGGAAGTGGTATATGTATCTCAAATGAGAACGAGCAATTGCAAATAACTCAAATAGTCTATTAAATGTGGGTACACGGCAATGAAACACTGAGTCCAAATTCCATCTGCTCCTCAAATCATTAGGTCTTACTGGCAAAACCTCATACCTAGGGCTTGCAAGAAAAAGGTAAAACCTCATACCTAGGGCTTGCAAGAATAAAATAAAAACTCCTGCCAGGTCTTACAAGAAACAGGTAAAACCTCATACCCGGGATCAGGTCTTACTTGGAAAGAGTAAAAACTCCAAAGAGGTTACACCCAACATAAAGATACCTTCAATACAAAAGGCAAAAGTGGCAGTTGTGAAAATGTGAAATAAGTGGTCCTTAATTGTAAACAAAAATTCATATATCATTAAATATTACAGATGTAAATATTTCAACATTTCTTAGGTTCACATTAAAAAATGAAAACTATACCACCGAAAGTAACCGCCCCTTGATCTATGACAGATTACCAAGGTGAAAGCCACGTTTATCATGTCACTCCACAAATGTTAAAAGGATGTTTGCTCGTGCTATAAAGCTGGGTCCTCGGATCTGTCCCGTCATTGGCGAGGATTGTTCATGGAGCTCACGATGAGTACCAAAGTTGCGCTATCCTTTCTGCTGCTCATATGTAAGTACATAATGTATCTTTTACGGTAAAACTACCACAGCGTCACAATGTCAGGATAAATTCATGCTTCATTATGTGAAACCTTTGCTCATGGGTTCGAAAATAAAAGATTGTTTCGGCATTTATTGTCGCTGTCAACCTCAGTTTACGGTAGTAAAGAATGGATATGATCTTAAATCTGTTTTAATTGGAAACACAAATTTAAGTGAAGATATTAATCTACGACCAGAAACTAGAAATGGTTTATCTTATGAAATGGGTAGTGTTGGAATATATCTTTGATACACGAGTTAAAAATTGATTATATGCAAGTGGTACACATTTTAGACATCAAAAGATTGCTGTATATTTATTGATCTAATTTATGTACATGTATGTATTTATCTATATGACCCTTATTTAAATACTACTTATATTTTGCTAAGTAAATTTATTAAACTATTCTGTAAAATGTATGAAGATCGACACTTCGTAATCACGTGACATTAACTTATGTGGTTGATGGTTATTAAAAAAAAATACCAAACACAATAGGGTATGTTTCACTATTTGATCAGTATTTTCACATGAATCAATTAACCGTTTCATTAGCTGTTTTATTAGTCTTGAAAACGCCCACCTGGTCCCGTAATATCGATGCTGTATCTCGTTTCGGTTACCGTCTTCACATCCTGCAACTGAATCTCGTACATTAGGAAAACGAAATTCTCTGATACATCTCCACATATCACAACCCTTCCTCCCCCACAAATCTTGTCTTGGTCACCAACTTTCAGAGATGGAAACATCGTCTCTACGGTAATGTTTTGACAGCTGGGGAGTTCCTGTACTAGACGATCTCGGGAATCCCCGATCCGCAAAAAGTGCCGTCAATTATTTTTAGCTAGCCAATCAAAACGCGATGACACAGCTCTCCACTCGCAGCCAGCCAATCAGATTACGTGAATAAAGATAAACCACTGCGAATAAGCCACTGCTGGCGATTGGAGATCAAGCCCTGTTATGGGAGAAATACTAGTACTGTATAAATCATACATGCCGCAACAGTTGTGTGCGTCTGAGTGTGTCGGAGACAAAGACAGACTGACATACTGACGACAATATATCCCCCTCCCTCCAGTCGTTAAAGTCGGGGGTATATCAATCAACATGTTTTCTTTAAATGTAATGATCATCATCAACATCATCATCATCAACATCGTCATGTCCAAGGTTTTTTTTGGTTTTTTTTGCTCTTACGAATGCCTACAATATGTGCAGTGACCTCAATCATTCACTCACTCTAACGTTAGATTATGTTCAAGTTAGACAATTGATCTTGTCTAATTTTATTAACTTTTTTTACATCATCCTATTTGCATTTGCAGGTGTAGCTTCTGTTGCCTGCTTCAACAGGGAAAGGCTTCACTTCCGGGGTGAGTACTTTTGTGCTTTTGAATAGAAATTTCAGAACGTTTTTTATTTTGAAAGGACGAGGTATGATAAGGTCGATTTTGGCCCATGGGATCATTTCAGAATTGAGGTACAAATCATTGTGAAATTCATATGAATGAGAGTTAAACTTTGTATATTTCAACATCTGTTGCGACATATAAGAACACTAAATTCGCAAGTCAGCCTAATGCATTTAGAAGACTTGTTTTAGAGGTTTTCATGAAGCGTTTTACTAACTTTTGAACATGAGCAAATCGTTGAACTTAGGTGATGTCCTTACGAACCGTTGAAACATGTGGTCAAAAACGTCATCATTGGACATAGACTAGTGATCCTCAGAATTTTCTTGACAATCGACAAATGAACTCTCATTCACTCATTTAGCCAAACATGTACTTGGTCACGTCAAAAGTCCAAAAACTTGCAAGTGTAAGAAGGAAAAAGTGTAGTCGTCCATTCTCTGATCATTTTCATACCAATATTCCAAACTTAATTTGACATATCCCGTGGCCAAAAGGGCCCTTATCATGCATCGTGCTTTCTAGATGCTACATGTTAGTTATTATTGATAAATACAAGCGAAACTCCGAATCCCGACGTCGCCGTTAGTAGCATCGCATGCATGCCTTTGAACGTGGGTTCGAATCCCAGATTTATGATTCTAGGTTTCTCAACACCATACATTTACTCCTAGGTTTTTCAAAGTGGTAAGAGTCTAAGCCATTTCCGGTGATCCTCCCTCTACAAGCCACATGACTAAAATAGCGTTCACTCACTCACTCAAAGGCATGAAAAGGCCTTCACTTTACCGAATTATAAATAACCGCAGGATTTCAATAGCAGTCAGATCTAAAAGGGCGGTGGAATAGCCCGGTGGTTAAAGCATTCTCTGGTCATGAAGGATGTCAGGTTCGATTCCATACATAGGTACATTGTGTGAAGCCAATTTTAGGTGTCCCCCGCCGTGAAGTTGCTTGAATATTATTAAAAGTTGCGTAAAGCTCTATGCAATAGCATGACAGTGAGGGTCTGTTTTGCTTGAACAAAACACAGGCTTATACTTTTGTTCTTCTGCCCAAAGGACTAAAGACCATTTTAGGGACCAGTTCAAAAGTTCGATCTTTATCTTAGTTTCTTAAATTCAGTGTGCCTGCAAATTTTCAATCCGACAAAGTCAAGCCAAAGACCCGGGTTCGATTACAGAGATGGTTACAATGTGTGATAAAATGCTTTTTAGCCGACATCAAACTTTGGAACTGGTCCCTCAGCTATGTATCTACTTTCAGTTGTCATTCATTGTTAGGATGAACTTAAAATCAACCACATAATTGGCAGGAATAAACGATCTCCATCATGCTAAGGACACCGATTCTCCTGGACAAAGACGCACTGGTCAAGATATAGTGGACAGAGAAGGAAGGGTTGGACAGGAGAGCAGAGGCGATGATGCAAGTCATACCGACGAGGAGCGCAAGAAAAGAGAGGAAGACGCCGATGATAACGATGATGATGATCGTAGGAAGAGAGACGAAGACACGGATAGTACAGACAACAATGAGAGTAGGAAGAGAGAAAAAGACACCGATGATACCGATTATGGAGATGATACCAACGATGATCAGCGAAGGAAGAGGGAAAAAGACACCGATGATACCGATGATGATGAGCGTAGGAAGAGAGAAGAAGACACTTATGATACCGATGGTACTGATGATACCGACGATGATGTTCGTAGGAAGAGAGGAGAAGACACCGATGATACCGATGATGATGAGCGTAGGAAGAGAGAAGAAGACACTGATGATACCGATGATACTGATGATACCAGTGACGGTGTTCACAGGAAGAGAGAAGAAGACACCGATGATACTGATGATGATGTGCATAGAAAGAGAGAAGAAGACACCGACGATACTGATTATGATGATGATACTGACGATGATGAGCATAGGAAGAGAGAAGAAGATACCGATGATAATGATCATACTGATGACAATGAGCGTAGGAAGAGCGAAAAAGACACCGATGATACCGATTGTGATGTTGATACTGACGATGATGAGCATAGGAAGAGAGAAGAAGACACCGTTGATACTGATGATTCTGATGACAATGAGCGTAGGAAGAGAGAAAAGGACACCGATGATACCGATTATGATGATGATACCGACGATGAGGAGCGTAGGAAGAGAGAAGAAGACACTGATGATACCGATTATGATGATGATACTGACGATGATGAGCATAGGAAGAGAGAAGAAGATACCGATGAAACTGATCATACTGATGACAATGAGCGTAGGAAGAGAGAAAAAGTCACCGATGATACCGATTATGATGTTGATACTGACGATGATGAGCATAGGAAGAGAGAAGAAGATACCAATGATACTGATGACAATAAGCATAGGAAGAGAGAAAAAGACACCGATCATACCGATTATGATGATGATGCCGACGATGATACCGATGATGATGAGCATAGAAAGAGAGAAGAAGATACTGATAATACCGATGAGGATGAGCATAGAAAGAGAGAAGAAGATACTGATGATACTGATTATGATGATACAGACGATGATGAGCATAGGAAGAGAGAACAAGACACCGATGATACTGATTATGATGATGATACCGACGATGATGAGCATAGGAAGAGAGAAGAAGATACTGATAATACCGATGAGGATGAGCATAGAAAGAGAGAAGAAGATACTGATGATACTGATTATGATGATACAGACGATGATGAGCATAGGAAGAGAGAACAAGACACCGATGATACTGATTATGATGATGATACCGACGATGATGAGCATAGGAAGAGAGAAGAAGACACCGTTGGCACTGATGATTCTGATGACAATGAGCGTAGGAAGAGAGAAAAAGACATCGATGGTAGTGATTATGATGATGATACTGACGATGATGAGCATAGGAAGAGAGAAGAAGACACCGATGATACTGATGATACTGATGATGATGAGTGTAGGAAGAGAGAAAAAGACACCGATGATACCGACGATGATGAGCGAGGGAAGAGAGAAGACACTGATGATACCGATGATACTGACGACGATGTTCAGAGGAAGAGAGAAGAAGACACAGATGATACTGATAACACCAATGATGATGATGATGATCGTAGGAAGAGGGAAGAAGACAAAGATGATACCGATGATACTGATGAAATCGATGACGATGTTCATATGGCGAGAGAAGAAGACACCGATGATACTGATGAAACTGATGATACCGATGATACTGACGATACCAACGACGATGTTCAAAGGAAGAGAGAAGAAGAAACTGATGAGACTGATGAGGATGAGCATAGAAAGAGAGAAGTAGACACCGATTATACTGATGACAATGAGCGTAGGCAGAGAGAAAAGGACACCGATGATACCGATCATAACGATAATACCGACAATGATGAGCATAGGAAGAGAGAAAAAGACAACGATGATTCCGATAATGACGATGATGCCGACGATGATGAGCATAGGAAGAGAGAAGAAAACACCGATGATACCGATTATGATGATGATACTGACGATGATGAGCATAGGAAGAGAGAAGAAGACACCGATGATACTGATGATACTGATGGTGATGAGTGTAGGAAGAGAAAAGAAGACACCGATGATACTGATGATACTGATGATGATGAGCATAGGAAGAGAAAAGAAGACACCGATGATACTAATGATACTGACGACGACGATGATGATGATGATGATGAGTGTAGGAAGAGAGAAAAAGGCACTGATGTTTACGATTATGATGAAGATACCGACGATGATGAGCAGAGGAAGAGAAAAGAAGACACCGATGATACTAATGATACTGATGATGATGATGATGATGATGATGATGATGATGATGATGAGTGTAGGAAGAGAGAAAAAGGCACTGATGTTTACGATTATGATGAAGATACCGACGATGATGAGCAGAGGAGGAGAGAAGAAGACACCGATGATACTAATGATACTGATGATGATGATGATGATGATGATGATGATGATGATGATGATGATGATGAGTGTAGGAAGAGAGAAAAAGGCACTGATGTTTACGATTATGATGAAGATACTGACGATGATGAGCAGAGGAAGAGAGAAAAGGCCACCGATGGTACTGATTATGATGATGATACCGACGATGATGAGCATAGGAAGAGAGAAGAAGACACCGATGATACTGATGATACTGATGATGATGAGCATAGGAAGAGAAAAGAAGACACCGATGATACTAATGATACTGATGATGATGATGATGATGATGAGTGTAGGAAGAGAGAAAAAGACACCGATGATTCCGATTATGATGAAGATACTGACGACGATGAGCATAGAAAGAGAAAAGAAGGCACCGATGATACCAATCATGACGATAATACCGATGACGATGAGCGAAGGAAGAGAGAAGAAGACACAGATGATACCGATGATACTGATAACACCAATGATGATGATGATCGTAGGAAGAGGGTAGAAGACACTGATGATACTGATGATACCGATGATACTGATGATACCGATGATGATGTTCATAGGAAGAAAGAAGATGACACCAATGATACTGACGACGATGAGCAAAGAAAGAAAGAAGAAGACAGCGATGATAACGATTATGACGATGATGCCGGTGACGATGAGCGTAGGAAGACAGAAGAAGACACGGATGATACCGATTATGATGATACTGCCGAAGACGATGAGCGTAGGAAGAGAGAAAAAGACACTGATGATACCAATGATACTGACGACGATGATCGTAGGAGAGGAGAAGACACTGATGATACTCACGACGATAAGCATAGGAAGAGAGAAAAAGACACCGATGATACTGATGACAGCGGCGATAATGATGATACCGACGACGATGAGCGTTGGAAGAGAGAAAAGGAGAACGATGATACCGACGACGACCGCAGGAAGTGAGAAGTATACACCAATGATACACGTGATAGGAGAAGATAATTAGGGTATGTATTATTGTAAGAGTAGTTACAAACTCAAAATAGTATTGCAATAACAAAAAGTCGACCCTAAACGAACATATAGTTGAAGGCAACATTCCAATATGCAATTAATAACTCCATTTTTTAACGAACGTGTAACGTCGGAGAATAAACGGGGCCTCTAAATAAATTAACGCTCAATGATCATTCAAAATCACTGTAATCAGAAAAAAAACAATGTTTATTTTCTTGTCTTTTCTTTTTCCAAGTTTCGTATAATGGTAAGAGCTACTCTGCAGAGGAAACGAAGTACTTGGTGGACCCCAAAACGGTGGGAAAAGAATTATTTGGTGGAAACTTTTTTTCTCGACACACGGCACAGTAGCTGCAATGAACCAACCCATTCTACCTTTACGGTTCAAAATGGGGAACAGTTCGATAATGAATCGTATTAAAAGACCGTTTGACATGTTTTGTTATAATTCATCAAATGATTTAAAGCCAGCTCACATTAACAACTGGTCGACGCCATGTTTCCAACGCCCACAATCAATGAGAGAGTCATTGAGGAGCATTTCATATATGCATATCATTGGGTGCCTGCAGATTTTCTTAGAGACTGTTTTTGTTGGCAATGCTTCAAGGTATCCAAATTTTGCTTCCAAGCACACACGTGCTATTTTAAATTTTGATTTTGGCAAACTTAGAAACATAATTCGATCAAACCGGGATTCGAACCCACAATCATAGGTTTCTATCTCGCTTGAGGCTCGAAACACTACACAGGGATTGTCTATGCTATCGATTCCAACGGGGGACATACGCGTTATTGATGGTAGCTGACCTTCATCTTGGACTTTTCCTATGTTCCGATAATTGAGATGACTACAACCACCAAGTGTTCTCGCCACAACATTTTGGCACAATACCTTGTGGGGTTCCTCGTATAAATGCATTTTCCTACCTCACAAAAATCTGGCTTTGCGTTTCCTTTTTTTAAGAGTATACTTCGATTAAAGTTGTCTTCAGTCTTAATTATGTATATACAGTTCATGTGCTCAAAACTCTGAACAAATGTTTAACTATGACATCCAGAAAACATACACTCTCGTCTCGGCTTGTATTTCACAATTGGCTGTCTTCCTTAGACCTTTGCTCAAAATATACTTGAAGCATGGCCAGTCCATGAAATACAACTTTTTCTTTCACATTGTTGTACAAATACGATTTTACACCTAGGTATATACATGTGCATTCAAGGACATACTTGATTCCAGTGCAGTTTCCCATTTCATCCTATTCTACAAAAGGAAAAGTTTGAAATAGATTATGACCGTAGATCAATGGAATTATATTTGTCATAAAAGGAAAAATACATTCTTGAACTTGGAAAGAAAACCTAGCAATTTTTGTAAATATAAATGGTTTTCAGTAGTAATGCCTTAGTAATTATTACTAAATACGTGTGTCACTGATCGAAGAAATTTGATAATTTCGATATGCACAGTGAAAATAAACGTAATGAAAACTTTTTAAAACAACAAAACGAAATCACATTTACATTGAAAACATGTTGTCATTCAGAATCCATCATCTATATATTGTGATTAGATCTAATTACTTTTACTGTTTATGTTGTAAATTGAACCTTTCGAGATTCTAATATATGAGGCTAAAATATTAAAAGGGCTGTTTAATATTGGATCTATTTGGACAGCTTTCTCACTGTATAACATTCCATTACCTTACTCAACTATATGTACATTATTTTCTTGGCATCTCAAGCCTTCAAACAGACATAAAAAGCACATGTCAACATGTCAAAATTAGATAAGTGCGCCAAATATTCTAACAGTGTTAGTCAAGTGATAAACGGTCTCGTTTACTAGTCGGAATGGAAATCTTCCCATTCGCGATGTAGAAGATCTACTTTCTAGTTCGGAGAATATTATTATATGGAAACTTAAACCACGTCTATCCATGAAACGACCACAACATTAGATCAGTTGTTTGGCGTGACGTCATCCATGCACATGTCAACAAATCACGCGCATCTGTCCAGACGACAAATTCACAGCGGCGGGAAGTAACTGACCGTCAAATAGCCTACACAAATAAAATTTTTGAATGTAACCTCATTGAAGGAAAACAATATAGTGTTTACTCATTGCTAACATTTCAGATATCAAATAAAAGTTGAGACTTGCCATAGATTATTATACAATAATCGAGAGTACAGTCTACATCACTAATTTGTAGATATAATATCAATGGAAAAATGTTGGAAATACGAGGTGATGCGAAATGCGTTTAACGTCGCTTTCAAGATTATTGCACTTATAGCGACGTGCTTGTACGTGTGTGTGTGTGTATGGCTGCTTGTACTGGTCCTGACTGGTGACGATTAATAGTGATAGCCCACTGGGATACAATGCTGCAGTTTAACATGAATACCCGACTCAGATCGACACAGTATATTGACTCCGAGCCAACCAGTCCTTGTTTTAGCCCCTTAATGTCGAACGCCAGGCAGGGAAACAACAAGGACCTTTTTTAATGTCTTTTGGTATATTATGCTGCCGGGGATCGAACCCCAGACCCTCCGGGTGGACGCTCTACCACTAGACCACGGAGGCGGTCGTTGGATATACGAACCTGTCGTGTTATCATAATGCATTCCAATTTCTGAGGAGCATCATAATGTGTATTTGATAATATTTATACATACAAAATTGGTTATCACTTATCTTGTACAATCACAGAATGTACTATGTTTAGTGTATTTGTAAGACTGTATACATAATGCTAAGGTACTCGTACCACCCGCACCTAAACTGGGAGGAACATTAAGCAAAAAGAACGATGATGTATTCATAGCTGAACACGGGTACATAGTAATGACGTCACTTCCGATGCTGGGGCATGTGACGTATGGCGTAGTGCCGCGTGCACATTGGCGCTCTCAATATTGTTAACACGTACAAATGCATACCAAAAACCGTAGAAAAATATCACAAAAATCAAACATTAAATTGATGGTTATAGCTTTAAAATCGATGGAGACAGAAAGCCGAAGTGTCGGCGCAAACAAGCAGGAAATCAATAGGGCGATGACAGTTACAGGATATTTCGGGATAGCTTCGGTGGTGTTGTCACCAATTAATCCAAAGACATCTTTAATCGGTTAGTAGGTACAGGTAATTTTCCGAACACGACACAAACACGAGCTCATGATCTGATATTGTCCTTATTCAATGACATGTGACAAAGACAGACCAGGCCCGAATACTTTAAAATGATACCCGTCAGCATTAGGAGAGGAGAGCGCGGTTTGCAATCGATCGAGTCGAATCCCGATCGTTCTAGTTCTCCCCATTTAGAGACGAGCCTGGCCGGTCTGATCCTGTCGCGTATTGATAGATGGACTGAGAGTAAGTCAAACTAATGTGAGTATAAAGCTGATGTTGCGTTTCTTTATTATGCGAGGATAAATGCTGATGGAGACAATTCGGAGTAAGCGTCGTTAGACCAATTACTCCTTGACTGAGCTGAGCCGATGCTGACAAGGCGAGTTGCAAAGTCATGGTTTAACTGACCATGATGACAAGGAACGGCAATACGTTTAGGTAACTGTAGTAGGGTCCCAGTTGACAACCGAAAGCAGTTACCAGCTGGACAAACTGCATCACTGACAACGCCAACCAACTTCTCAACGAACTTACCTCACCAGTGGTGGTAAGAATGTTTTCTTTTACTCTGACAGGTGTCCCGTGTGCAAAGAACACTCTCATTTTTGTCTGAAAATTTGACATTTCAAAGGAGTATATAGAGCTAACTATCACTCAGGCCCCCCACCCAGCAATTAACAATTATAGTCACAATCCTTCAGGCAACTTTCTAACAGTGCTGAGCAAAGTCTTTACTATGCTTATTTGACGTCACGTGACCCACCGGTTTCCAATTCTCCTTGTTGTAAGCATCCTAAATCTCCTCACTGGCAAGTCACTTTAAAAAAATGATAACAAGCATAGGATTCATGTTATTTTGGGACAACGGTTAGTTTCTACAAATGTGGATTCAGGAGATGCTATTAGATTTCTGAGTCTTGAAGTTTTCAATGACTCAGGTCTGTGGAAAGATATCATTTTGCAAAAGTCAGATGTTTCACCACCCATTATTGGTGAGATTTATAAAAAACGTTTCCAACTTATTGCCGATTTAGTGTCTCTGATTTTAGGCTCGCGCTGTCATGGATTCTCAATGTTATACTTTGACTGTTCAAACTGGTTCAACAGATGTTCCATCTGGGTAAATAGTATTTTCTTTCCACCTGTTGCTGGTCAGAGCATAAACAAATTTCTGTTTTCTCGCTGTCAAATATTACAATTCCTCTCCAATCAAATTTACTTCACTTTCGCAGTTCAGTACAGTAAAGACAAAAACTTGTCACGTTTGCCGCATGTGTCCTATTTTTTGGTACCAATAAGAACCGTGCAGACAATGATCTTTCCAAGTCGGCTGAAAACGAAAAGATATCGATCTTGACTACTCCAGATAAACCATCAGAGCTCTATGATGCCAGAAAAATTCGTTACCGTCTTAGTGTAATTTCAGACCCCATAGAGATTAGTCAATAGTATATAGGCAATATTACGATTCAAGTGATTTGCAACATTTTACCTACAAGCTATGTCTTTGTAGTGATCACAGAGAATTTAAGGTTTTTGTCCACGCTGACCGGCTTCTTAACCCCAAAGATAGGCTAATGAATGTATTTCAACAATCAAATTACTCCGTCTCATGTTTATGAATCTGATACGGACACAGACAAGACAAGCTTGGCGGCACAGAAACCAACCCCCAAGCAGGCACAGAATCCCCACTTTGATTTACAGGAGGCCGACGTTTTCATAGTAAAACGAATCTTAGCCCATACAATAGTCAATGGGGAAAATTACTACAAGATTCACTGGGAAAATT